TAAATATCCCCCGGCACAGGCTTCAATTTGGTGATGTAATTGTTCCACTGACCACAGAAGTGACCTCTTTTTCATGTTGTCGAATTTCGGTGGCGGAGACAGTTGTAATTCCCGGTAATCAGGAGATAATTGTCACTGGCAGAGTACACCTGCGTGGTAAGATAACCCATGGAGTTGTAGAGTCTTGTAACAAATTGATAGCTAAGGACAATGGTGTATTAATTGGACGAGTGTTTGCCAACCCTGACAAAAATCTCATTCCAGTTAGGGTTCTTAATGTGCAACCAGAAACGACAGTTTTGCAGAAAGGAACAACTATAGGAATGTTTCATTCAGGTGAAGTAGTGGAGAATGAACAAGAGGGTAAAACAGAAAACACACTTAGCCCAGCTATGAGAGACCTTTTAGATCGCAGTTCTGTTAATTTAGATGAAGAGCAGAAGCATAAGTTGACAGATTTGTTACTTGAACAAACCACTTGTTTTTCTCAGACTGGTGAACTTGGTCAGACCAAAGTCACATATCATGACATTGATACAGGTAATGCTAAACCTCGCCGTCTTCCGGCTCGGCGATTACCTTATCATCAAAGGCAGGAGGCGCAGAAACAAGTAGATGACATGCTCGAGTCAGGTGTAATAACTTCATCCTCCAGTCCCTGGGCAAGCCCAGTAGTATTGGTCAAAAAGAAAGATGGCTCTACGCGATTTTGCGTAGATTATAGGAAACTTAACGAAGTGACACTTAAAGATGCCTATCCATTGCCACGTATAGATGACAGTCTTGATGCGCTCTCTGGTTCTCGATGGTTTTCATCGTTAGATCTCGCTAGTGGTTATTGGCAGGTCACGGTCAACCCAAAAGACAAATCAAAAACAGCTTTTACCACAGGTAGCGGCCTTTACGAATTTAACGTCATGCCTTTCGGCCTGTGCAACGCCCCCAGTACTTTTGAAAGGCTGATGGAGTTAGTTCTGAGTGGCCTCCATTGGAAAACTTGTCTTGTGTATTTAGATGATATTCTCATTTTTGCATCAACTTTCGAAGAGCACACAGCCCGTTTGGGTGAAGTTCTCACTCGATTATCCCAGGCAGGTCTGAGACTAAAACCCAAAAAGTGTTCTTTGTTTCAAACAGAAGTTTGTTATCTGGGTCATATTGTTTCGAGTACAGGAGTATCGACTGATCCGGAAAAGACAGTCAAGGTTCGTGATTGGCCAACTCCCCGACATCTTAAAGATGTTCGGAGTTTTCTTGGATTAGGTTCATATTATAGGCGTTTTGTGAGAAATTTTGCGTTGATTGCTGCTCCGTTGCACAGACTTACCCAGAAAGAGGTTAAATTTAAATGGACACAAGAGTGTGATGTAGCTTTTCAGTTGCTGAAGGAGAAATTAACCTCTGCTCCCATCTTGACTTTTCCAGATTTTTCATTGCCATTCATTCTTGATACAGACGCCAGTGGAGCTAGCATTGGTGCAGTTCTTTCACAACATCAAAATGGTCAGGAAAAGGTAATAGCATATGCGAGTCGCAAGCTGAGTAAAACAGAGATCAACTATAGTGTCACCAGACGAGAACTTTTGGCCGCTGTTCATTTTGTCAAGTATTTCAGGCATTATTTGTATGGCAGGAGGTTCACTCTGAGAACCGATCATGGGTCTTTGCGATGGCTGTTTAATTTCAAGAACATTCAGGGCCAGCTTGCACGATGGTTAGAGACATTGAGCTCATTTGATTTTGATATATGTCACAGACCTGGTACTCAACATAGAAATGCAGATGCATTATCAAGGTTAGATGAACAGCCACAAATCGATCAAAACGAAGATGACGGTGAATTTCAAGTGATATGTGGATCTCTGAGTCAGACTTTTGCAGGTTGGGATGAGGATGATTTTCGGAAGGCTCAACGCTGTGACCCATGTCTGGCCCCCATCATCAAGTGGAAGGAGAAAAGTCAAGTTAGACCAGCAGGCAGAGAAGTGTCTAGTTTTGGTAGGAAGACAAAAGGATATTGGTATCAATGGGACCAGCTGGAACTTAGCAACGGTATGTTGTACAGAAGATTTGAGGGGAATCCCTCTCTTTTACAAATTGTGGTTCCTGCTGTCAAGGTCAGAACAGTTTTTGTGCAAGCTCATAGTTCGAAAACTGGTGGTCATCTGGGTCGGTTGAGAACATTTAAAAAGATTCAACGATTGTTCTACTGGATTGGGTATCGGAGTGAGATAGAGCAGTTGGTTAAACAGTGCGATGCTTGTGCAAGAAGAAAGTCACCGGCTCCAAAACCACGAGCCCCTCTTCAAACTTCGTCAGTTGGTGCCCCACTAGAGAGATTAGGCATAGACATTTTTGGTCCGTTGCCACGTTCAAAACGTGGCAACAGATACATTTTGGTAGTCATGGATTATTTTACGAAATGGGCGGAAGCATACCCATTACGTAACCAAGAAGCACGAACAGTTGCTACAGTGTTGGTCGAACAATTTATTTGTCGCTTCGGGGTACCTTTAAGCATACATTCCGACCAAGGTTCCAATTTTGAGAGTCAACTTTTTCAATCCATCTGTCAGTTGTTAGGGATAAATAAAACGCGCACGACCCCATATCATCCCCAATCAGACGGTCTTGTCGAACGATTTAATCGTACGATACAGACTATTCTCAGTATGTACATCAGAGAAGACCAGTCGGACTGGGATGTACATTTACCATACGCCATGATGGCGTATAGAGCGAGTGAGCAAGAAACTACAGGAGTAAGTCCAAACAGAATGATGTTTGGAAGAGAAGTTTCATTGCCATTAGACTTGCTTGTAAGTCATCCCCAAAGTCAAGGGAACAAAAGTTCTGATGAATATGCATCTGAACTTTACCATAGAATGCAGAAATCTTTCGAAGTAGCTAGAGAAAAGATTCAAGGAGAGCAGAAAAGACAGAAACGGTTGTACGATGCCAAGTTAAAAGGCAAACCATACTCTCCAGGTGACAAGGTATGGTTGTATAGCTATGTCCGAAAGATTGGTCTAAGTCCTAAACTCCAATCTCATTGGAAAGGTCCATACCGTGTTGTTAAACGCATATCAGATGCAGTTTATCGTATACAACATGAGCAGACAGGACAAAGAAAAGTTGTCCATTTTGATAGATTAAAACCATGCGTTTCAAGTTCTGTTACACAGAGAGTTTCTGAAGATTTCATTGGTGAACAGCCGGAAGAGACTACCGGAGATGTTACTGGACAGCTGGAGGAACTGAGCACCATAGACAAGTCTACTAGTGATGAGCATGGCAGTGGGAGTGACGGGGAACTGGGACAGTCAGGAACGCCTTGGACCAGCGATTCGGACCTCCATACCAGGGAAGCAATCATAGCGGCTGGTGATGGAGAGATGGATGACCAAAGAGGCTTCGGACAAGATGGAGACATCAGGGAGATGGAGGACGTCATTGCCGCATCCAACAGGGACTACCCAGAATCAAAGTCGAATGAGGAGGAACAACATGAGGCATCGTCAAGTCAAGGAGACGTGGAATCCGGCCGGACACGTCCCCGACGACGACATCGACAGCTGCCGATGTGGCTTCGCACAGGAGATTTTGTGACATGAACTCAAATAAGATTTAAGCCTGCGTGTGATTGCACCAGAACACTTGTGCCTTGTTTGGGCTGCAGACCAAATAATTTGGACACTAATAAGTGAAAAAGAAAAGTGCAAATATCAAATTACATAAATTCACATGCTTTTAAATCTCAGAGGAAAGCAGGCTCATAATTCTAATAATAAAGGAAATTGTTTAAAATTTACAAATAAATCCTGTATTTTATGAGACTGGTCACAAACTTGCCTATACCTTGTGCTGAAACATGTTTAATTACCATCTTTTCAAACTCCGATTTTTGAGAAACCTGAGATGCTATACTAATACCGGAATGTTGTAAATAATTATTTTTATTAATTCAAATTTTGATTAATAACTTCAAATATGAAATTTGTATTTTTTTTATATAGGCGCAGAGACGCGCCTTTTTCACAGGGGAGGGCATTGTAACAAAATTTGATTTTATTATGGTCCCAATTGCACCTTTAAACTATACAGAGAGCGTGTTGGCCACAGTAATCCATAGCAGTCATGTATTACACCTGTTCTCAAGTCAGATTAATGCCACAAAACTATTTCAGAGCTTACTTTGTTCAACTTAAGTCTTAACCTACTTTAAACCACAATAGAATAGTATTTGGGTTGCAGTCAAACCACAGATGGAGCTCTCATGGCAGTCTTTATTGTTTACTCTCACAATACTGGGATATAAGTTCCTTGCCCCCATACCTCTGTACTTAGTGATTATGCAACACACTGCATTAGTATGCCTAATCTTGAAATTCTTATGCATATTTTTACCCAGCACTATAAAACCCCTTTGAAAGCCCAGTAGGGCGTGGACTTGCGACTGGGGCATGGTGGTGGATGGTGGTGTGCATTTTAGTTCCATAATTTCTGAGTTCCTGTACATGTATGGCTGACGGTGGAAGCCTAGTTTAATTTGGCCTTCGTTTTTGTGCAAGACGTTGTGTTCTTTAATTTGCATCACCACCACCACCATTACACCAAAGGGTTCAGTGGTCTGCATAGTCTTGTGAGTATGTTCCAATATTACTCCCCTTGCCCCCAGTAGTTTTTACATGGCCTGGTTGTAGACTACGGTGTTGTATCGTAGTGGTGCCAGTCTGAACTCTGCTCTGTCAGTAACTATTTAAATTCTATCATTTATATTTACATGCTCTCCCCTGGTTAATTATTTTGTAAGCGAAGAAGCGCTAATTAAATATTCATTATTTCTATTTTCTGATATTGCATATACTTGTCCCTTTGTCGGTTATTTTGTGATCAACACCCATGTATATTTGATTAATTAGTTAATCCCCCCAACTGACGGTTGGCCTCTTTGGGTCGCCGTTACAATACACGAGTCCTGTTTATTACGTCACGATTTACTGTGTTTTGTTTTACAAAATTGGAGAAAACCCACCAACTTAATATTTTGCCTGATCACCTAAAATCATTTTTCAAATACAAATAGACAACAGTTTGATATGTGTAATGGGCAGTCCACATTTGTGCACAAGTAATGTTCTCTGTGTTGTTTTAAAGCACATTTTCTCAAAAGGTGAAAATGGATCATATAACTGTTTTTGCAAATGAGCTCTTCACTTGTGCAATTGTCTGAAGGTAACAGGTTGATTTCCACTTTTCTTTAAAGTTATTGTTTTTAAACATCAAATGTATCTATTTCCAATGGAGTGTTTCAAAGATATAAGTCTGTTTAAAAATAACAATTTCAATATTGTGACTTATTTGCAGATTTGTATAAGTACAGTAATCCTGTTCATTCTCATACTCTTCAATATTTTAAAAGCTGCTCCGTTATTGCTATGTTTTTGACAACGCCATGAATTTCAGTCAGATAGAAAAAGCAATCAGTAATATGCAAATCACGAACAAAATGATTAAAAACGAAGTGAAAAGAACTGAGTAAAAACAAACAATTCAAATGCAAAATGCAAAATTATATTTTTACTTTCTACCCCAACACAATTGTCAACACTTCAAACTATAACTACCAGAGAAATAATAATATATTACACCATACAAGTTTTGTGTGCTATATACAGCTGGGGACAGCTGTATATTCACATGATCATGAAAAATGAAACAAAAGAAGAGGAAGCTGATACTAATAATTGCTGCTTTTTGAAACATCATACAACTTTTCAAGTCTTAAAACTTAATTTTCTGCAAAAGTCTATGATGGCTGTTCACTGTTTTAATACATATTACTTTTAAAAAGGAAAGTTTAAAAAGGTCTCGACAATTTCTTTGTTTTCTAGAAGATTTTAATGACAGCTATTTAGTCAAGTTCCCAGCTGGCATCCAAAAGCCGTTAATATTTATCTACTTTTTTATTTTTGCTTTCAGGGGTACACTAATTTAAAGACGAAATTCCACAAAATATGAGCAGACCTAAACCTATTTACAAATTATGAAAGTTGATAAATTGCTCAGTTTCAGGTAGACTCTGACAATGCAAACAAAAAATGTGATGCACTTTATATTTGATAAACTTTGCTGCCACGATTTGTCACTTATGTTGTTCGTTGTTCCACAAAAAAAAGGGAAATGAATTTGCTTGTACTTTTTGTCCACCAAAAATGTATCAAAATCAAAGAAGCTTCTTTCCATTTTTGAGTCAGTTATGTTCATGAAGATGAATGGACAAATGTGGAATGTATTTATGAAAAATTGACAGTAAGATTGTGCCATGTAATTTCTGAAAGGAGAAGTGTTTTGAGTTGAAAAAAATCTAGCTTTTTGATCTCAGTGACCCTTGATAATCTTTGGCCCCAGTTTGTTCATATGACATGTTGGGGCTGTACTACTGATACTTTGACAAATCTGGCTGAAATCTGTCAAAGTGTGTAGAGGAACAGACAATGTCACGTTTGTTACTAACTAACTAACTAACTAACGGAGAGACATGGTATTATGTACAGTTGACTCTCCTTAACACAAACACTGTAAATACGAATAATGGTTATAGCAAATTGGTCGCGAGTGTGAATGGGACCGGGACTCTACTTAATACAAAATTCAGATATACCGTAGCAAACATTTTGGCAAGGTCCAGCTGACTTTGAGATAACAAGAGTCTGTGAAAACCTAAAAATATGGCATTGCCCCTTCCGTGCTGAAGGGCCACATACATACAAAAACAATGATGGCCTCGTGCGTACATACCTTACACCCTGTTAAAATGCATACTGTACTAGTTTTCTCAAAAAAGAAGAAGTTACCATTATGGTAAGACATTTTTTTTAATGTACAGCATAATGCTAGTACATTTGTATCTGTTTAGATATACACCTGCAAGGTAAAACTACACTAATAGAAATTCTTACATCTACAAAATATTAACATCCAGCTGAAAGACACTTACAAGTATATTCATATTTAAGCAAATTTTAATATATTCATATTTAAGCATATTTAAGTAAAAAAATATATAAGACTCCTAGCAGGTTACTGTTAAAATTTTTTTTTTTTGATGTTTAGGTACAAATATTACATCTTTATCAGAGGTCATGTGATCATGAATGTGATTCTATCCATATGATAATTGAATACTTATTTGCATAAATTGACAAGTTAATAAGGCATTCAGAAAGAGACTATTTCTAAAGTTTTTGATTTTGAATTTCTAGTACTGTTTGAATGAGACTTACGTTAACTTGACAGGGCAAGACTATAAACTCTTGACATTGTAAAGCATGATGTTTCAACATTGGAAGCAGAAGGTGTTTAAATAAAGGTTATGATAATAAGTGCCAGTTATTATGATTATGAGAGTGTTCTGATATGTGAATTGATATGTGAATTGTCTTCGTTTTGCTGAAATACCACTTATCTTTATTGTGATTGCTAGACTAAATTTTAAAACTGCATTTGTGTCCAAAATTCCAGAACTTGAAAAGTACACGAGCGATTTCAATGATTCTTTTACTAAATGAAAGCTCATTACTTGGGCTTTCATATCCTAGATCTGGCTATACATGCAGAACTTCTTCAAAACATGAAGGGGGCCGGGGCATTTGGGTTTCCTATTTGTTTACTCACATACTAGTCTTACAGTGGAACTATTCCTCACATGATATCCCAGACGAATTCTACAGGTCATCACATGACGGCACAGCCGTCTGGAAAATTCCTCTCAATCGCACTCTGAAACAGATGGAAAAAGCATCAGAACAAGTTACAAAAGAGTTTCAAAATATTCCTTTCATCTTAGAAAATATTTGAACTATGTGCACTTAAGTGACTGCTACACAGAGCATAATTTCAGAAATTTTGAAATTGGACTTTTGACATTGTCTCTTTAAAATCAGATAAAAGCTTTAGTGCACAATTATAAATTCAAAATTTCATTTCATGAAAAACAACAAGCACGATTGGAAATATCTCGGAAGCTGCGGGCCAGCGAATTCGTGTTCATGCATGAGTCACGTGATTGTGCCATCTAATTTCTGGAAGGAGTAGTGTTTTCAGTACATTTTTCTTGGTTTTTTTTTCCAGGTTTCTTTTACCCAATTTTCACAACGCCTCCAGGTTCTCAAAAAGTTCCTTATAAAACATCTTAACCAGTTCGCGTTATTTTTGCCCCAAAATTTTGATTTTCAAAAAAGGAAAATATCCGAAGCAGCCAACTTCGGATATACAGCCAAACGCCACAAATACTGATTTGCAAGAGTCATTTCAACAGTATTTGCTCGATATTTCTTGCCATATATCTAACCTTAAATTTTTTAACACTCGGGCGTATGCCCATGGAGTATAAATTGTAGAATAGCCGTGCACAGGTGGCTTATTCGAGATCAACATGCAGTCTGCCTCCACAGACTTCTCGGATTTTGTGTTCGTGTACGAAACGGTTGAAGGCCGGCCGGATTAGCGTGTTTAGATGTCATCCGGGGGCAAACCGAGGCATACTTGACATTGTAACCCATAAAGCCATGCCCGTGTAAAAAAAAAAAAGCCAGATCATGTTAATATGTCATCCGACACGAACAGGAATAAGGGTTGACAAAATCGTACAGTGATTTAGCGTTTACACAAGAATTACCCGTGTCTCTTTTTTGACGCTGATATCGATTTTCATGGGGCGGTCATTTTCTGCGGAGATGATAACATTGCCATGTCCTGTGACAGTGACATGGCTTGTAAGGTTGTCCGGTGGTTCTGGGTTAGGGGGCGGGTCGGGAGTGATTGATGCCACAGATGAAGAAATACAAGGAATGGATCCTTGTGAAGAATTGCTTGCACTTGGCGGAGAACTGCAGGAAGACAAAACTTTCAGTTATCAAAGGTTATATTGCAGTGGTTTAATTTATTTCTCACACAGTATTAGTTACAACCATTTATCTTTTTAAGTTATTGGCATGATATAACAAAACAATTGTTGACTACTGTGATGTTGGATATGACGTTTTAAACCACCGGGGTGCATATTAGCCCCTCATAATTTTTACATAATTCCTGGTTCAGTAAAGGAAAGGGTGAACGGATAACCAACAAAATTTGAAAATATTTTTCAAAAAATTACTGTTGGGAGATTGTGTTCGAGACGCAATATTCAACCACAACTTGCGCGTACACAAAAGTACTACTTTTTTTCAGTATCAATTGTCGCCAATTGCATAATTTCGTTCACACTGTCACTGCTTCAGTCCAAAGAATGGCTGGATTGCTAAGGAATTTCTGTACTGATTGGTCGCAATGCAAAAGGATCAATCATTGCTGTGGAAGTATGTCTAAACTGATCATAGATATAGAATAAAAAGACTAGACCGGCAGGAGGAAAGATACCATTAATGCGCGAAATCGTGACAAACGCAACGCCGTTTACGCGCACAGTGCACCAATCGCTAACGCGTGTGCGCATCTTGTAAAAGCTCGTTGCGCATTGCTAGCTTCACGCGCGTTGAGCTAGGTCACGTGCTGGAGGAAAGATACATTTAGCTCCATTACTTTACGTTAATTTGTTGCACGTCCAGGAGAGACAACAAAAATGGCGGAGATTTATCGCACACTAGTGAATGGGCGCGTGTGGACGCGCTGCTGATCTAGTCTCTTTATTCTATATCTATGAAACTGATCAACAGAAAATAGTAAAAGATGGTACATCTTGGTGATGGTGATTATTACAAAAACAAGTTTACCTTACTTATATGAGTCACAATGAAATTTACCTTGTAGGCGGATCCAGATTCACTCTCACAGTCAATTCTTCATTCCCAGTGTTGGGGTCACTAACTGTGAACAGATATTATACAAGTTTTGGCAATAAAATGCCATTATTAAACAGAAATTCGTTAAACCTAAGACAGTTTACCCATTCCCATTGGTTGAGAGCCCATATCACGTGGCTGGTTTTAAACTGATGATAAAGACATGGCCTTAAAGGGAATATACATCATTTGCTTTTGCTGTAATTTTCAGAAATGGATGGAATTAGGGGGTTGGAAATATATATCAAATATAGTTACACTGACTTTTTGAGGTTTTGGGTTCGAAAATGCTATAAAAGCCAAGAAAAACGATCATTTTCCTGTAGTCTGGTTCCCTGACTCCATATAAGAAGAAACAGAGCAGTTTACATACATAAGGTCAGGGAACCAGTCTAGCTGGCTCGTACCCGTTCATCGATTGCAAACAAGTGCGATGATCAATAGGGGCCAGTATTTGAAAAAAGCCAGTTGTTTCCAACGCTGGTCGGCCGATCAGCGTTGGAAATTGATATAAAAATACCACTTTTCTTGAAAATGACAGTATACCAGGTGCCATGATTTTACAGGATGCTTTACACTGTCATTCACTAACAGTTCAGCAAGGTATTTCAAAATGATATGGTAGTTTTATTTTTCGATGTTTGCAAATGTTGTATTTTCCCTTTAAACACTTTTCCAGTGTCACATGAAATTTGATCTCCTATGAAATACAGTGCCTTTTACCATTTTATTGGTTGAACTTTCATAATCCTCACGTAGGCATGCGTGAGGGGGGGGTTGCATTATTTTAAAAGAGTTTGTATTAAGAAAAACAAATTTTGGAAAGAGCTGGGTTGTTGTTTTGTTGGACACCCCCCCCCCCCCCCCCCCCCGGGTCCTTATGCAAGGCACTTCACCCCCACTGAATTTACTTTTACTTTTGAGTCGCTCTAAATAAACTGGCACCTGTCTATGTACGCCGGTCTGAAAGGAATAACTGAGCACAGCCTACCCTTACCTACATTATCATATCGTCAGTGACACCACGATGTAATACCTAAGTGGACTTGAGTGCTCGCTACGCGCACGCATTTTACAGAACCGAGCGTATTTCGTTTCCACGAAGTACCACTCATGGACACTGTGCACTGAATCGGTCATTTTCGTTTCTACAATCATTTTTATTTTTCCAGTTTGACGGCTTTTAATTTAACTTTTCTGAAATCCTACAAGAATAGGTATCAATTACATTCCCGTCAAACATTTAAAAATGCTTAAATCCAAATAGTATTTCCGTATTAAACAGTGTTAAAACGAAAATCATTCCCGTCAGTGTCCGATGTGTGCACGCACACTTGAGTGTTACTTCGTGAATCCAACATTTGTCATTTTGCGGTTTTCACGAAGTAACACTGAAATGGACTTGGGCGTTACTTTGTGGTGTCGGTGACGATATGATGTTTGCTGTCGGTCTGCACCTTACCTTCTTCTTCAGGAAGTTTATATCCCGTTTCATTTTTCCAGGGGCAATAAATGACACGGTTGCCGATTATGAATTTATTTATCACAGTCATGCCAAAAATCAGAAAGAGGATCCCAATTATAATGCCAAGACATGCCTTCAACCATGCTGCATAACAAAAAGAAATAGGAGAAACAAATGTATAGCAAGTTCAACACACTGTGGAGAGCTATTTCTTGTTTTCAAATACAATCTTTTCTATTTAGTTTCCATGGTAACATCATTTCATGCAATAACCGTTTCCAGTTAATTATACAAACAGATAGGTTTGAAGTTATCTGTTGTATTTAAATATCCTAATAAGAACTTCATAAAATCTGTTCATAGGTAAAGCAGAAATGCAAAAAAAAAAAACATATAATTTAGGAACAATAAGCACCGTCGATATATTTACAATAATCAATATATCGGAAATCCAATATCGATATCGATATATCGATTATTCCATGTTAAAGTTAAAGACCATAAAGATGACGCTTTGATAAAAACAAATGTGAGTCCCCATTTTCAACGGCTTTCTCTGGAGCATATATACTGCTCAAACGTTTTAAAACACATCTCAGCACTGAGAGTTTGTCCAGAACAGGCAGTTTCTTTTGAAGTTTTTCATTGGGGAGACTGTGAATATCAGCGAACACAGAGCACAAAGCGACGCCACTTGGCATTTCGCAAAGTTTTTTCGCAATGTTTTTATTTATTTTATTTTTTTATTAATTTTTATTATTATACATCTGTGAAGGGCAAAAAAAAACAATTTGATTTACATTACCCAACGCAAAATAAATAGTTAATGCGGTACCCGCTGCTATGTGCATCAGATTCGTGCCAGCCAACCGATCCCGTTAGCTCAGTGATCGAGTGGGAAAACATCTGCACTAGAAAGCAGGAGGTCGTGGGTTCAAGTCCCACCCGAGTGACTTTTTCCAACTTTCACTCGGGAGGTAACACACTGATTATACAGTGTCGGTGAAGGGCAAAACCCCAATTTTATTTTTTTGAGTCACAAGCACAAGTTGCAGCCAAGTTTTATTTCAAATTCAGCAAACGTGACAAAGTATAAGCACAAACGGGCGATTTCTTTTGACGATAATCTGACGCTTTTTTGATATTTTCAATATCAATCCTCAATATCAAAAATATTTTGATATGATTTAGAAAATGCTATTGGCGATATTGCTATCAAAATATCGAATAATCAAGCAATATCAATATATCGACGGTGCTTAAGATACCATATCAACAAATAATCAAAATATTTCTAAATTAAAAGATTCTTTATGATTATTTTCCTTTCTTTATGATTAAATAAATATATGCACGCATTTGCATCCTTGAGTAATATTTTGCATTACCGAGGCATAGTTTGCAGATAGTTTAAATGATCAGTGGAGATAAAATACTGAACCTTCTGAAATGACACAATTTAAAGGGGCACTAGGTCCTGAAATCCCCGAAAATTTCATGTTTTGGATTGTTTACTTAGCCTATTTCAAACATCTGGTTGAAAGGAAACCAACGTAATGTCTCACCGTTGTGTACACGTTGTGTGTCTCGGGAACAGCAGTGACCAATCACCGATGCAAAAAAAAAATGATGTTTCTTCAACGTCCGCAAAAGGCGAACACTTTATGAATGAAATCAAAACTAGCATCCAAACAGCTCAAATTTATGGGGTCGCAAAAGTGGACCCCGAAATTCGTTCTCGCATGCATAATACAGGAATAACACAAAAACGCCAAGTTTTGAAAGGATATTTGTGTGGATGTTTATATCCTACTTTTAAATGTTATTTCCGATTATCATCATCTCGTTCAAAGCGCGTTTCGTAGCCCAATTGGGCTGTTGCAGGACTTAGTGTCCCTTTAATGTGGAGCACATAAATGACCATTACCGGGTAGGTCTTCAAGGTCAGACTTAGTAGTAGTGGGTGGCTCAGCAGTAGTGGGTGGCTCAGCAGTAGTGGGTGGCTCAGCAGTAGTGGGTGGCTCAGCAGCAGTACTCTGTTGAATAATGTAATGAGTAAACAACACAAATAAATAATAAGTGAGTCAAATGTGAATCACAAATTAAAGCACAAGTCAATTATTAAATAAGATTTGAAGGTTAGCATAGTGTAAAGTAGTGAGGGTTTGTGAAGAATCTCTTTTGAGATGTGTGGTTCTGAAACAAACTGGTTGGTTGTGAAAATTGACGATCTGATCAGAATGCTCCGATATCATCTGCAGGAATAAGTTGATCATAGTTGGTGAGGCTGCATTTATAGGTCTGGATGATTACTGAGGTGTGAAGCTGTGGATAATGAGGTTGATTGTTGTGGTGTGGGGGGGAGGCTGTATGGAGGCTGATTGCTGAGGTGTGGAGGTGAGGATGCTGGAGGCTGATCGCTGAGGTGTGGTGAGGATGCTGGAGGCTGATCGCTGAGGTGTGGGGAGGATGCTGGAGGCTGATTGCTGAGGTGTGGGGAGGATGCTGGAGGCTGATCGCTGAGGTGTGGGGAGGATGCTGGGGGCTGATCGCTGAGGTGTGGGGAGGATGCTGGAGGCTGATTGCTGAGGTGTGGTGAGGAGGCTGATTGCTGAGGTATGGCGAGGATGCTGTGGGCTGATCGCTGAGGTGTGGTGAGGATCCTGGAGGCTGATTGCTGAGGTGTGGGGAGGATGCTGGAGGCTGATCGCTGAGGTGTGGCGAGGATGCTGGAGGCTGATTGCTGAGGTGTGGTGAGGATCCTGGAGGCTGATCGCTGAGGTGTGGGGAGGATGCTGGAGGCTGATTGCTGAGGTGTGGTGAGGAGGCTGGAGGCTGATCGCTGAGGTGTGGGGAGGATGCTGGAGGCTGATTGCTGAGGTGTGGTGAGGAGGCTGGAGGCTGATTGCTGAGGTGTGGTGAGGATCCGGAGGCTGATTGCTGAGGTGTGGTGAGGATCCTGGAGGCTGATCGCTGAGGTGTGGTGAGGAGGCTGGAGGCTGATCGCTGAGGTGTGGGGAGGATGCTGGAGGCTGATTGCTGAGGTGTGGTGAGGAGGCTGGAGGCTGATTGCTGAGGTGTGGTGAGGATCCTGGAGGCTGATCGCTGAGGTGTGGGGAGGATGCTGGAGGCTGATTGCTGAGGTGTGGTGAGGAGGCTGGAGGCTGATCGCTGAGGTGTGGGGAGGATGCTGGAGGCTGATTGCTGAGGTGTGGTGAGGAGGCTGGAGGCTGATTGCTGAGGTGTGGTGAGGATCCGGAGGCTGATTGCTGAGGTGTGGTGAGGATCCTGGAGGCTGATCGCTGAGGTGTGGTGAGGAGGCTGGAGGCTGATCGCTGAGGTGTGGGGAGGATGCTGGAGGCTGATTGCTGAGGTGTGGTGAGGAGGCTGGAGGCTGATTGCTGAGGTGTGGTGAGGATCCGGAGGCTGATTGCTGAGGTGTGGTGAGGATCCTGGAGGCTGATCGCTGAGGTGTGGCGAGGATGCTGGAGGCTGATCGCTGAGGTGTGGGGAGGATGCTGGAGGCTGATTGCTGAGGTGTGGTGAAGAGGCTGGAGGCTGATTGCTGAGGTGTGGCGAGGATGCTGCAGGCTAATCGCTGAGGTGTGGCGAGGATCCTGGAGGCTGATTGCTAAGGTGTGGTGAGGATCCTGGAGGCTGATTGCTGAGGTGTGGAGGTGAGGATGCTGCAGGCTGATCGCTGAGGTGTGGCGAGGATCCTGGAGGCTGATTGCTGAGGTGTGGTGAGGATCCTGGAGGCTGATTGCTGAGGTGTGGGGATGATGCTGCAGGCTAATCGCTGAGGTGTGGTGAGGATGTCATTTGTGGGGCAGTGGGGGGGGATCTACCCGATGTTCCCCAATACCTGGAGGCTGATCGCTGAGGTGTGGGGAGGATGCTGGAGGCTGATTGCTGATGTGTGGTGAGGAGGCTGGAGGCTGATTGCTGAGGTGTGGTGAGGATGCTGGAGGCTGATTGCTGAGGTGTGGTGAGGATGTCATTTGTGGGGCAGTGGGGGGGGGGGGATATACCCGATGTTCCCCAATACCTATGTTCCCCAAAATCCTTAGGATTAGGGTTAGGGTTAGGGTTAGGGTTACATGGTAAGGATTTCGGGGAACATCAATTTTGGGGAACATAGGTATTCACCCAAGTTGGGGATGCTCACTGAGTTGTGCCAGTAATGGGCAGGGTGGCAGCTCTCTTTCCTCGATATCAGCCTCTTCATTAAGGTTACCCTACCCACTACTGACACAGCTCATATTCAGCACACACACCCGCCCCAACAACAACTCCTCACCACGCCTCATATCAGCAATATTAGCCTCAAGAATCCTCACCTCCCCTGTCTCAGCAATCAACCTCCATTATCCTCAGAATTAACATAATTATACTGCTCGGAACGTCATGTTTCACAACCAACCAGTTCTTTTCTAAACCACGTTCCAGTGTTCTTTTTTCCCAAGTACCGAGTACTGCCGAGTACTTAGGTTGCTGAGTACTTGTACTTGTACATGTACTTGTACCTCCAAGTACAAGAACGGGTCTCAGAGTACGAGTACTTTGTACTTCCGAGTACGAGTACAAGTACCATAGTACTCGCATTTCCGAATACGGCCATACGGCAAATGGTTCATTGTGCGTAATTGGCAGGCCCAGTCACACCGATGTACAGACCCACTCACGGCTAGCTGTTAAATGTGTTTGTCCGGACGTGCACAGAGGAAAATCAGGAAATCTTGATTTCTCCACAAGCCATCTGAAAGTACATGTATCGATAAAATAGGCCATAGAAGTGAAGCTATTTTCTCCCCAAGTACGAGTACTTTAATGATCGAGTTCAATTTCGACATGTTGAGTATGAGTACTTTGCTGCCCGAGTACGAGTACCGTCATTTTGAGTACCAGTACTTTGACATTTGAGTATGAGTACGAGTACTCCACAAAACATACTCGAGTAGTCCTCGAGTATGAGTACCGAGTAAGAGTACTAGTACTCCAAATAACGTACTCGAGTAGTACTTGAGTACGAGTACCGAGTACTAGTACTCTAAATAACGTACTCCAGTCCGAGCTAACACCGAGTACCGAGTACGAGTACTGCAACACTGCCACGTATACAGTACACCTTCTTGAAAGAGTTCTTTCACATGATGGTACTTCAAACCCTCACTAGTAGTTTCATTCTCATAAACTTTCAACAAAAGGATTGGAATGAGTGGTGTTATTTAATAAGGATTTAATGTCGGGGGTACATGCATTTTTCAAGGGGACACTAAAGGATACTCAAGGCACTAACAGTGCAGTTTAATATCTCAATTGTTTTTTATTTCAAGTTTTCACGTGGGGGGGACTGCATGGGGGAAGTGAAAATGGATAGCTGGTACTTGTGGTGGTGGGGGCCATTCAACTTGGGACTGCACTGTTATTTAGTGTTGAGTTGACAAGTGACTGTACCATCATCTTAACATTTTGGTGCTCAGTCAAGGTCAAGCAAAATATGGATAGATCGCCAAAAAACAAACATTTCCCAGTACTCTCTTTTAGAAATGATAAAATCTTTAACATGAACAGAAATTTATCAATATCAGAGGCTAGTATTCTACGCACAGTTAGAAAGAGAGAGTTGCAGGAGAATAGGGTGGGTTTTGAACATGTTGAATACATCACCAATGACGCCTGACACTCATGCATTCAAAATTAAATTAGTCATGCATACTTTGTGCAAAACCGGTGTGGCCCTCCAACTGGGGTCAACAAAGGTCACAAAGCACCATATGCTCATGCAATTTGCACGGAGTCTATGAGTTTTACTTGACTGGAGGACAAGACAAGGCAAGCCTAGTAAAGCTGGTCCCAGAGTGCACAAGATTCTAATTGAGTCACAATGAAAATAGAATGGCAGGCTCTTCTTGCATCTGGTCTACACAATAGACCGTTCGCCCATTCATGGGTGCTAAGGAGTTATCCTATACAATAGCACTGCCCGGCCAACAAATATCAGTCAGTCAATCAGTGAGACAGAGAAGATTGGCATGAGATGCATCACAAAGCAGACAGCCAGAATTATACTTACTTCAAATTGTGGCTTGCTCTCGCCATCATCACAGTCTTCGTAGTAAAAAAAGAAGAGAAAAGGGACAAATTTTTCGTCACTTAGAGATTTTAGGCCCCCCCCCCTAAGATCTCGGCCATCGAGTGACGAAAAATTTTGAACCTCGGTTCATGCATAGAGCAACTCTTCATGAACATACCCAAGAAATTTTATGACTATAGGTCAAAGGGTTTTGGAATTATGTCTAATTAATTATTCATGTACGAATGGTAATTCTGCTCCGTGTACACGACGTACTATGGGAAAATTCCGTTTTCATGGCGCGTAGCGCCGGAAATTTTTCGCTACGCAGCAACCCCTGGTCCAATTTTGATGTTTTTGCATATATGTATCAAAAGATGCGCAAGGCTCGAGGCTAAACAGTCATAACAGCTCAGGTCACGAAAAAAAAATTCTAAGGCTATTGCGGAAAAAGTCACGACCCTTTTAGGGTTAAACTGGTTGCTAGTACCACTCACTACTAGTGCTCTAGTATGTCCCAGCGCATGCACTCTGCCGGATTGAGAGCCATAACGATCTCCATATAGGGAGATAAGTGCCAGAACGCAATTGTATGACATTACAAAAAACTGCTCCATCAGAATATTATCTCTTATGCCATATAGTTTGTAGTTTGAATGAATAGAAAACATTAAATATTTCTGAACCTTAAATGTCACAAAGAAATATCACAAATGTAAGGAACATAACTGACCTTTACATTTAGCATCTTTAGTGTTCTTGCAAATACAGAATGGCACACCTGAATATGGGTGAAAGAAGTCAATGGCACGATTTGCATTCATAAAAAGAAACAGTTCATCCATTCCTACTGGCCAAGGGCCAGTCACATGGGTGGTTTTAAACCACTGTTAAACAATGCAGAGAAGTGTTTAAAACTGGCAAGTAATAAAGCTGGCCCCTGAATCAGGCCAATAAATGTTTGCGTCTTGTTGATGGTAAAATACCCCGCAACAACTGCAGCTAATAGCGAGATACATGTCATTGTCAGGCCTAGCTCTACTGAGTGGAGCGTTGAATTACGGGTACCCCTCCATACCAATGCTCCACCGACAGTATGGGCTTTGAACACACCCAAGGTGGAGACGGCTGAAACGTACACGTTCTTAACAAATTAATGACGTCTCCACCTTGGGTGTGTTCAGCCCATACTGTCGTACGGCGCGGATCGGAGCACGTATCATTACACGAAACAGTCGTTGATAAAGCGTGACTTGTTTTTCTTCGATCAAGCAACGAAAGTGACGTCACGTCAGACGCTCTCATTCGGCAAGTCGGGGCACGGACTGAGCCTCACGGCAAACACATTGAGCTGTAAGTTTTCAGACTATTTTGCTGGTTAATTTTTCTCAAAATTTTCGCTGTTTGGGAACAATATAAGGGGTCTGATGGAATGTCATGAATGTGTAGATCAATCCAGGGTAACTGGTTCTCTCATTTGTAGGCCTATTTCTCTTTACCGGTTTTGTTGGGGTCTTTTTGTCCTCGCGTGGGTATTTACATTATGCTACTATGACGCCGTCACCAAAGTATGGCAAATCGGTGGAGCGTTTGTATGGACCCTCATAGAAAATCTCTGGCAAAATCCTATGTTTTTCCTATTGAAAATACATTTTTAAGCTATTTTCTCCTAGAAAATAGGAACAAAATATATTTTATTTCTATTACATCAAAATGAGTACATGTTGCCACTCTATTTTATTTCTATTTTTAAAACTGCACGCTATTTTATGACTATTTTTGGAGACTTAGACATTTTTGTGTGGTCCACAGTCTATTTTTTGTCTATTTTCTGGACACTTACACATGTTTATGAGAACCATGGACTATTTTTTGGCTATTTGGTAGACATATGCTCAGTACAACACAATATGAAGGCCAAGCACTTAATTTGCATACCAGATAAACATCCTGTGTGTGTGTGGCAAGTTTGAATTTTGTCAGTTGCATTCTGAGAGCCGTTTGTGAAGCACATGCAGCTGCAGTAGAGATGGGGGCAAGTATATCTGGGGTTAAAATGCATCCAAATCACTGTAATGGAGTGACAAGTGCACCACATGGTTAGTAGATTTTCCAGGACAATTATGAGTAACATTCTTGTACCTTTTCAAGCTGTATTTTGCTGAAAAAGCACGCACTCCCGTAGCATGTTGAACCAAACTGTTTTAATAACTTGAGCCGGTGCATGATGTATGTATGTTAATTGTTTGGACACTGTGTTGTCACAGCATTATTACTGTTCATGGTAATAGACATACATGTATTTTGTCAATTATTCCATTCTTATTCAGTCATATTGCTTGTTCACTTCATGTACTGTATGTTTGAGGACTGCATGCTAAAGATGCTTATTGTCCACAAGGACATGTGTACTATTAACATGTATGTCCACGGATTACAAAACAGTTGTTTGGACAGACGCCATTTTGTATTTTTTTAAAATAACATTTTTTTAAATAGCATGCTATTTTTTAAAAATAACCTATTTTACCTCTATTTTACCTCTATTTTTTTAAAAGATATTTTTTCACTATTCTATTTTTTCGCTATTTTTGGGGGTGTCGAAATACAATGGAAAAAAAATAGATTTTTAAAAAATGTATTTTCAATAGGAAATAAATATATTTTTTCTCTATTTTATTTCGACCTGGGGAGGGGTACCCGTAATTCAACGCTCCACTCAGTAGAGCTATGTCAGGCCATGCTAAAAAAAAACACATCGAGATGTACTGCCGATACTGGAATTTAGTTGCCTTGAACTTAATTGTCAGTACAAGGCGGCACTTGAACATGTGACACTTTTTTTTACCACAAAGCCTACAACTAAAACTTGTTCAGAATCACAAAAAATGGCTACATCGCACTGGACCAGCCGCTTATCTCAAAAAAATGTCAAAAGACTTGTGGTTATTTATGCAGGGTTTTTTTATCGCTGTTTGTTGACCAGTAAAAGTTTATGCTGGGAATAAAGGTATGAAAATAAGCTTTCATATTTAAAACTTCCTCAAACTAATTGCTTCTTTGAGGCTGTATTTTAATTTTGTTGTGTGGGGGGGGGGGGGTACTCCTAGAACTATGAGGCTCCACGTAGTCGTGGAGCCTCATAGTTCTAGGAGTAGGGGGGGAATGTTGCAGAGAATTTTAATGAACAGACGACATGAAATATTTATGAACCTTATGTCACAGAGAAATGTCACAAATGTGAGAAACGTAACTGACCTGTATCTCCACAACGACTAAATCCCGGTGGACATGTATATTTACCATCTTGGTTTTTCTTGACCTCAAAACATGATGTATAACACTGTGGACAGATCAGCAAAAACCAAACATTTCCTGAACTATCTTGTAAACATGAATAAAATCTTTGCAATTACTCCAAAATCTTTCACATCAATTCATTTTTCTATACTTGAAGCCTGTTGCACAATTTATAGAGTACCGAAGTCTGACATCAGTATATTGTGAGGTGTGGTGCCAGCTCTCCTGCGTCATGTTGTTTTGGTTGGTAGTGTGCCGTCCCGATGATGTCCTATCCCTGCAGTGGTGGGCCACAGCACCAGGCTATCCCCGCTTCTCGGTTGACCGGATCAGCCAGTAGTAGACAGGGCAGTGGAATGGGAGTGTGAACAAGAGCTGCATGGATGGTTTTTTAAACAAATCGCCAACGACGCCTGACACAAGAAGAAGCTTTGGGTTTTTATATGCAATAATGATGCATACTTTGAGACATACGCCTACATGAACATATACCATAGTGCCTGTCCCAAATTTATTTTAAAATAAATTATGCATGAGTATGTGACCTGACCAACCAGCACACTGTCCTAAACACACGTGGGAGAGCAAAATTGTTCTGGTTCAAATGACTGGTCGCGAAATACTTTTAACAATGCAGTTCGCGTCGGAGGACGTGATAACACTACTTTTTGTGCACAGGCGCAGCTGACGGGTTAGACGTCTAGATTTTCTTGACTTGCCTCTTGGTGAAGAACGTCTAAACACGCTAAATCCCTTGTATTAACACGCTAATCCCTCGTGACTTTTGTACACACACAGAGTCTGTAAAGTCTGTGGAGGTGAACCGTGTTGAAGCTTGAATTGGCCGCTGTGCACGGCCTATTGTTGTTCAATGTACGCTCCAGTGCACATCCCGGAGTATATTGAAACACATGAGGTTTCGGCAAGATTAATATCATACAAATACTGTTAAAATGACTCATGTGAATCAGTATTTGTGTGGCATTTGGCTGTATATCAGAAGTTGGCTAGAAAATTTGGTCTTTGGCGAAAATCAAAATTTTCAGCAATTTATTTTTTTTGAGATACAGTTATCGACTCAAAATAAAATAAGTGCTCCGTTCATTCAATTCATAATGGCTATTCATTGCAAGTCCTCAAATGCATGAGGCCTACACAATGGGCGGGAGTATAGCCAATACGATGGCACTGCCCGGCACACTTAGTAAGTCAGTCATACTCCTAGAACTATGAGGCTCCACGTAGAGTTAGAACCCCGCAAAATTGTTGTCAGCACAAAACACTAATTAAGTACAAAAACGTCCATCCCAACCAAGCTTTTTCCCACAGAACCGCTGCACAGTTTGCCCTTAAACTCCGTACAATACCTCATGACATACTCACGTTATGTGCACCCAACAAACATCGGTGGAATCTGTCAGTTTTTCGGCAAAAATGATGGAAAATATGCCCTTTTCGCACTGAGCCAACCTGACACTTGAAACATGCACACGCGCAGAATGATCGCAGTACGGAAGCTTGAATTGCCTTCCGCGATACCGCGTTACCGTGATAATTTATCACAGAAATTCGGAATTCAAAGATAAATCCTTCCTCGATTCTGCGTTACTGTGATAAATTATCGCGGTAACGCGGTATCACGGAAGGAAAGTCAAGCTTCCGTATCGCAGTCATTTTCGGGTTCGATCGCTCGGAGCGCGCCGCGGGGGTACGTACTTGCACTTGTACGCATGCGCATACTATTGTTCCGCTCCTACACCGTACCCCCCGCGGCGCGCTCCGAGCGATGGTTGGGATGGACGTTTTTGTACTTAATTAGTGTTTTGTGCTGACAACAATTTTGCGGGGTTCTAACTCTATGAGGCTCCACTACGTGGAGCCTCATAGTTCTAGGAGTAAGTCAGTCAGTGAGACGTAAATCATACGGCTGGTCCTCTGGGACCAGCAAGATGCCATGTCTGGGTTTGACAGCTAGTGGTTGTCTGTGTACATGTACCTCATCATCAGCTTGGGTTTCCAGTACAGCAAGGATGAGGATAAAGATGAAAACTCTGCTTGCATCTAAGCCAACCCCTCGAAATCTGAAGAATATCCATCTGAAAAAGAATATCATGGCAGTTATAAGAATACAGCTTGCATTCAATATGTAAGCAAGGCCCTCCCCCACATGCCACACATTCCCGGACAAACCACAAGGATTATGTATGAATGTGTTTTTGTTATTTCATCCTAGAACTTGTAGAACTACCGTACTGTGAAAAAATCTTTTCCATATAGCTCTCAGCTAATAGACCGCTTGCAGATGCGTTCGATAATCGACGCGCCAAGGCGCGCGACGCCATGTTGTGGGACAGGCGTATATCTATCCATGCACATTTTGTCGTCGTGCACCTTCGCGCGTCAATATCGATCGCGTCTGCAAGCGGTCTATATAATGAGAAAAACCAGGCGCCGATCAGTGTAATAATCATCTGCCTGTGCACAAAATACGAACAGAGCCAGCTTGGTAATAGGTAGTTTTTGAACACTATTATGTAATACGTGTTAGTAGTCTGATTTGAACAGCGCCGCCATTGAAAGTATATGGTACTCGCGTATCGGTACTCGAAATGAAGGTACTCCTACTCGGGTCGCAGAGTACTCCTACTCGACATGTCGACATTTTACTCGATGGTACTCATACTCGAAAAAAGCAGTACTCCAAAAAACAAATGGTATATCTACCACGGCCTTATTTTATACATCGATACTTTCAGTTGGAAATGTTTGATAGTGGCTTGCAGAGAAATTAAAGTTTCCTGATTTTCCTAGCTCTGTGCACGTCCAGACAAATACATTTAATAGCTAGCAGTGAGTGGGTCTGTATATCAGTCGATCTGACTGGGCCTGGGCCACTAATTACCCACAATGAACCATTTGCCGTATGGCCGTATTATGAAATAGAATACTTATAATCGTACTCGGAAGTACTTGTATTCGTACTTGGTAACCGAAGTACTCGGCAGTACTCAGTACTCGGAAAAAAGTAATCGACTATGTGGCAGGGCCAATAGTTGTAAATGTTTATAGTGTATTAAAAAATTGTGTGTCCTCCCTGTTAAGCCAGAGACAACTTCAGTATAATGTCCAGCTTGTGTTTTCTGCTAGAGTCATTGATCTTTTTTTCCAGAGTACACACACTGTGTTGGTTTTAGGTTCAGGTTTTAGGTTTTGTTCTTTGCTTTCAGTTTCTGGTTTTTGATTTTAAAGTTTTTATCGGTCTTCTTTAAAGTTTTTGTAAATAATTTCTTTTGGGTCCTTTTTTTGGTTTGAAATCTAGAATTTGTCCCCTCTATTAATTCAATTTCCTCGCGACCGTTCCTTTCAAAGATCCTGAGTGTTTCGTTAGTATGTATAGTCTAGAGTGCGAGTTCCCCATAGTGTGTCATTTTTCCAGGTTACAACCACAACACTGGATTCGCCTTTTTGTACATTAGGGTCAAATATTCCTCCATCGATGGCCAGACTTCAATCATTATTGTTGCCTATTGTTGCTGGTTCCCACAAATGGGGCGTCACGCTTCAGTAACCGGGCGGCTTCTGGCTTCACACCGATTGGGGTGAAAGGGATTGGCTCACCGGGCCAAGTAAATCCTTGTCATTTGATTGGAGGATTGTAGGTCACGCGATTATCACACCATTGCACGGCCTACGTCATAACTACATGTAGTTTGGTTCCGTCCCATCTCTTTTGGTCTATTGCTCACCATGGCCCGGCGCTACATGTATACGATCTTTGTGCTATTTAGACTTAGTCATGCGCTATAATAGCAGTACAAAACTTGCCTTGTATGTTGATGCAATTGCCTTGATGATTTTTTGGCATTATTTTAAGAACTAATGTTAATTTTTCAATATTGTCAATGATTTGACTCTTAAACCTTTGAATGAATTAGGTTTGCGGAAACACCATGTGTGAATAATTTCTCAACTAAGAGTAAGAGAATGGTTCTGAAAAGAACAGGAGGTATAAACTCGACATTCCGGCCAGTGGACATCAGGAGAGTGCCTTTGCACTTAAAACTTTTTTTGGAAGCCTTGAACAAGCTGAAAAGTAGTGGATATGATACAATTTGATTTGATGGATGGGAGAGTTTTGTTTGTTCTTAAAATGATATCCCTTTACTTGGATGTTACTGGTATATGAAACAAATGTTCGCCGAGTTGAATGGAACATTCAATCTTTCAACGCATGTTGAAAGATTTTATACTAACTCCTGCCTGGTAAATATTCTCACCATTGTACTCATAAACATTCATTATTTGTGTACTGCTGAGTTCATTGCCCTAGCTCCCAGTACTGTCAAACATCCTGTCGTTAACCCACAGCTTTGTATTCACCAGTGGATCTACCGAAAGGGGGAGGGAGGGGGGCACAATTAGCAAAACAAGAGGCCCAAAGTCAAGTTGCTGTTAATTTAATGGGTCAGGGGGAGGAAAATGTCCCTGCCCACCCTCAAAATGTCAAAGTACTCGTACTCGAATTGACGATACTCGTACTCGGGCGGCAGAGTACTCGTACTCGACATGTCAAAATTGTACTTGATGGTACTCGTACTCGAAAAGCATAAGTACTCGATAAACAAATGGTAAAGCATTACTTACCACGGCCTTATTTTATTATCGATACTTTCAGTTGGATATGGTTGAAATATTGTATGGCTTGCGCAGAAATCAGAGTTTCCTGATTTTTCTCTGTGCACGTCCAGACAAACATTTAACAGCTAGCCGTGATGAGTAGGTCTGTATATTGGTCTGACTATAGGCCTGGTCATATTACGCGCAATGAACCATAATGCCGTATGACTGTAAGTTGTATTCGTACTCGGTAACCCAAGTACTCGGCAGTACTCAGTACTCGGAAAAAAAATATTTGACTACGGCAGGGCCAAGATTTAGTTGCAAATGTTTCAAGTGTATTCATAAATACCTCAGACAGTTTAGCCATTCCTATTGGTCGAGAGCCCGTCACGTGGCCGGTATTAAACGGATGATAAAGACATGGCTAGCTGGTCTTAAACACTTTTCCAGTGTCGCAATAAAATGTAGACCCCTAAAAATCCAGTGCCTCTTACCGTTTCATTGGTTGAACGTTCACAATCCTCACGTAGGCATGCGCAACACTACCATCGAGTCAGAATTTTATAGTTCTAAATTCAAAACACAACGCGCCAGGTGCGTTCTGCGCGACATCGCTCAGAACATGCCACGCGCGCGTCAATCTCCATAAAAGGGTTGTTTACATCTTACTCGCCAGCTGAACACTCCATTATTTTGCTAGAGGGATGTTTCAAAAAGCATGAAGTGAACTTGTTGAACAAATCGGTATTTTTTGAACGAATTATTTGATATTTTTTACCAAAAAGGTATTTATGAATGGGAATAAATATGTGCTCAGTCGGTATTTATCACTCTGTTTAATACCGCTTAGAGTCTGGGTGCTGATAATTACCCTCGCCTCCGGCTCGGGTAATTATCAGCACCCAGACTCTAAGCGGTATTAAACGAGTGATAAAAACCTCCGGAGCACACATTTATTCCCTTATTAAATAGCTCCCCTCAGTAAAAAAATATTCATTCTAGTTTTAGTTTAAATGTCCCCCCCCCCCTTTCTTAGAAGCGTGTCCCCCTGTTTGTTTACCTAAGCCCACAATTCCCCTATAAATCCTGCCACATGGTCAAGTCACTTTTTTAATTCAGCCAGCAGATCAGCAGACAACTTCATAATACTACCGGTATTTGTTCCTCCGAGTGGTGTGTCCTGCTTGTGTCTATTGTCTGTGCTAGACTTGATCTTTACTTAAAAGTCCACTATTACACACTCTTTTGGTTTTAGGTTTCAGGTTTTATTCTTTTCTTTTTTAGTTTCTGGTTTTTGATTTGAAAGTTTTTAGGTTTTCGTCTAATTTTTGTAAATAGATTCTTTTTGGTCCTTT